GAAAAAATATGTTTTTAGTGATTGTATTGGTTGTTTGAGGCATGTAATTTATGTTCATCTTATGCATAAAGAATAGATCTTTCGGTCCATGTGCGATATGTGTGTGAAAGTGACGATTTGTTTCTAAAATATCAGTTTGAAGTGCGCTCCCAGCGCGGGTCGCATATTTCCTGCATATTATAGAGGGCCGGAGTTCTGCCGTTAATCGACGACAGACCGATATAAAAAAAGTCGATAAAACGTCAGAATGATTCGGACTAAACACAGCATAGCTTCCCTTGTCCATACACAGCACACAGGTCAAGTAGTACAAGGATTTACTCATTTCCCCCTAAAATTTCATAATGAACTATTCCAACCTTTGAATTGGAAGAGTTCAATTGTGTCTTGAGGGATGAATGAGTTAACTCCTATGACACACAAAGATGACAAATAATACTCCCCACATTGAGCTAATCACAACGATTATTTCTTGACATCACACATCAGTTATTACGCATTATTTCACCCCGATTAATTAATAATAAACAACAGTACTCGCACTTCTCAATCACAAACAGGTATCTCAAACATGTTGCCATAGTAACACAAGTCAAGGCCATATTCAAATTATTTATATTAGAATTAAGTTAGAATCGAGGTGGCATGTCATAGGCAATTAGTGAAAATTCAAATAATTTTGAGTGAAAATTTTGTGTCATTTTAGTAAAAATGCTGGGTGAAATTTGCGTGAAAATATTGTCCGCAATTTGGGTGAAAATGTTGTATGCAATATGAGTCAAAAAATCGTACACAATTTTGCTGAAAATTATTGTATGCAATTCAACTGAAAATGTTGAATGAATAAAATGCAGAAATGAATTTTCAATAAAGTTTATACTTTGAAAATGTCCATGTAATATAATGTGAAAATGTTTTTATTGACAAATTCAATCCTCCCTTTCTGAAATTTTTACTGCTTGACCTTTCATAACCTTTCAGAATGCTGGTTACAACCCAACATGCAAGTAAAAATGTACATATTAGCTGTTCTTTCTTCCATTCACTAATATCCACTTCAGTTTCATCTTCTTACAGTGAACTCTGACCTTTGACCCTTTACTTCTAGAAGTCGGATTTCTTTTGGACTCTGATCTTATATTTCTATTAAATCACATATCCTTAACAACTATATAAACTCTTGCCATTGACATTTATTTAGAGAATATTAGAGGTGATTAAGCCCTGTCATTTTTATGGATCAGATATAAAGTGACATTAAAGGGGTAATCTTCCTTTTTTAACATATGTATTTTCAATGATGAAAGTGGCCTTGACTAGCGGTACAGGCAACATTTTTGTAACATTATCACCATAGCAACATTACTCATACATTCATACACATTAATTGGTCATGCTAGGTTAACAAATTTTCAACCAAAGGTAAATGAAAATAGCAAGGTAATCATAGATATGAATAGAATCAGGAAAATAATTTACCAACATTGTTTAGAAAACTGAAATGATTTTTAGATAATTTGGTAATTTGTTTTGGAGCTATCTATCTTAGTTATGTAACAGAGGTATCAACTTTAATCAGTATTAAATAATAATTTAGATGTTTTCTAGTATTACCAATGTAAGCTTTTTTATATGTTAATTATACGGTAGTTAACAGTCTAAATTTCGTTCCTAATGAGACAGTTTTCTTAGTTTGGAGCTCTTTTATAAAAGAGGTTTACAGTAATTAAGGTACCTTATATCCTTAAAGATTAATCAATAGGTATTATTTTTCATCTGAATTATGTTTCAGAAATTTCAGTCACCCTCTCAATAGTTCAATTGACTGTGAAGAAAGTGGTGATTTTGTAAAAGATGCAAAAAAAATCATAAGAAAATTCCACTGATTTCTTAAAAATCAAACAACTGATTAAATCTCTTATTTCAGAAGTTGTTGTATTGTCCAAAAGGAAAGAAGCTAGATATTTAAGCCATCAAGAAATAACATAACAGGAACAGTTTATTCTGAAATTTAAGCTCAAAAGTAAATAAAAGTTTATTCAATTCTAATTTAAAACAAAGAATATTTAATGTTTGATAATTCGTTCTTAACCTACAAATTTTAAAGCATATATTTAAAATCTCCAAATTAATTCCTAACTCGTGTTACACATTCAATCATTTAATTTCTTCATTAGAATTTGGCGAAGAAATCAGTGGAAATCTTCAGTTTTTGTTATATTTTTAGAATGAAATGGGAAATAACGGTGGTTGATAAAGTGTGCAATTTATCTCATACTATATGTGTCTGTGCGAACATAAAAAAAAACATTTGTACTCTTTCAGATTTTGAAAAAATAATTGTTTGAAAATTAAGCTAAAAGTCAAGCCTGTTAATGGCACCACAAAAACTGTTCTCGGGTGACTAGCTTGGTCAATCTATAAATACAACTTTATATCATGTCTATGATTAGTACTTTGCTTTTTTCATTTTTACAATCACATCACTTGCCTGATCTCAAATGGACATCTCTTAAAGTGCCAAATCAATCCTTTTTTTCTGAACATATGTATTCAAATTTCATCCTATTTTTGTATTGCTGTTCCTGACCAAATAATGAGTTTATCCCGAGATCCTATTGGTGAGACAATTTTAAAATTAACTCAAATATATGTGCAATGTAAATTTCACATTCTTTTATATTTGTGATGTACTTCGGCTCAGAGTAAGAGATGTCCAAAAAGAGAAAGCCTTATATTAGTCTGTTTTCATTGGCTCCCTGACGTACCTGTTCGCGATCGTCCTTGATCTTTTCGCGTGTCTGATAGCCTCTGAAGCTTGCCTGGATCTTGGTTGCAGCCTCGTCCTCTGTCAGCTCCTTGTTATCAGTTTCATTCTTGGGAGTTTCTTTTGTTGTTTTCCCTGCTTCACCAGGTTTATTTTCCTTGATTTCCTTCCTGACCTTGAAACCTTTGTAGTTTGCCTGGATTAAGGTCGCAGCTTCGTTTTTCTTTTTCTCCTCCTTTAAGGTTTTTATTTCCTTGCGGGCCTGATACCCACGGACACTTGCCTGGATTTTAGTCGCAGCAGCATCCTCCTCTACCTTCGCTACCTTAGAAACATCACCTGTGTCACCTTGGGAGGAAATGGGAGGACGTACCTTATGACCTTTGGCTTTTAATTCCTGGCGAGTTTGGTAGCCACGGAAACCAGCCTGAATTTTTGCTGCAGCTTCATTCTCTGCATCGGAGGCGAGATTATCCTTGGTCTTTTCTTTCTGGGGTGTGTCCTTCCTTTGGGGGGTGTCCTTGCTCTGGGGGGTGTCCTTCCTCTGGCTGGTGTCCTTGTTCTGGCTGGTGTCTTGATCCTTTTTTATTTGAGCAACTTCCTGTCGAGCCTGGTGACCTCGGAAACTTGCCTGGATCTTAGTGGCGGCCTGTGAACATCCGCATACAAAGGTAACAGCGGTTACAGTATTTTGGTTTGCATGGAGAAACAGGTGGCATAGCATGTAAGTGGAGAGGTTGGATGTTGGAAAGTGAGGCAGGCTGTAGTAAGAAATTGGTAAGGATTGGAGGGGATTAATTAGGGGGGGGGGGGGGCTA